ACCGTTGACTTCAAAACTGAAGGAAAATTGGCTTACCAGCGATGGTTGAGTCTAAACATCGATGGGAAGCCAATATTCTGCAGATCCCAAATTTTTTCAATCCCATAAATCAAGCTAATCACCCCTTTAATGTATTGGTCCGTTGGAGCCTAATTTTGCACTATAAAAAGGGGTGTTTGGGTCTGCTTTTATCATCAATTCACTTTACAACATCCATACTCTCATTGCATTCAAATATCATAATTTTCCATAGCTTTCTAGAGCCATTTGTGTGTGAAGGTTGAGTTGTTCTTGAGCGTACTTAGTTTACTCATAATCTACTCTACAAGAGAGTCTCGTTCTTGAGTGTACTTGTGTTCTTAGACACGTTGAGAGAAAGTATTTCTCTCGTTGATTCAAAGGAAGGTCTGTTTCCTTTGAAGGATTCGTTGAGGTTCATGTGAATCGAACTCTCAAGTTGTAACGGTTTGTTAAGCACCCGCAAGCTTAACGAGATAGTAGTGTAGCTCGAGAGAGTCTCTCGGGAGGATGGATTAGCCACAAGTTGTGGTGAACCAGGGTAAAATTCGGTGCGCCTTTTACTCTTCTCTTTACTTCTCGTTTAATTTTTAATTCCTGCAATTTCTCCGATCAAACGCTATTCACCCCCCCTCTAGCGTTGGTCTATTATTCTAACAGTTCTGAGTTCCTTTGAGGTATCTTAGAATTCTTTTGGCTGCTATTAGATGACTTTCCTTTGGTTTGGACTGGAATCTGGCACAAACACCTACTGCATAAGAGATATCCGGACGGCTTGCAGTAAGGTAGAGTAGAGATCCAACAATTCCTCTGTATAGAGTTTGATCAACATCCTTTCCATCTACATCCATATCAAGCTTGGTGGATGTACTCATGGGGACAGAAACGGATGACTTTTGATCAACTTTGAATTTCTTGATAAGATTCCTTGTGTACTTGGCTTGATTGATGAGAGTCCCTTCGCTTCTCTGTTTGATTTGAAGGCCAAGGAAGTAGTTGAGTTCCCCCATCATGCTCTTCTCAAATTTTCCTTGCATGAGGGTGGAGAACCTGGTGCAAAGATCTTCCTTAGTTGAGCCAAATATGATGTCGTCTACATAGACTTGGACCAATAAGAGATCCTCTCCATCTTGTAGTTTGAACAATGTCTTGTCAATGACTCCTTTGGTAAATCCATTGTCTATATAAGAAATTGAGACAATGTATCATACCAAGCTCTTGGTGCTTGTTTGAGTCCATATAGCGCCTTTTTGAGTCTATACACTTGATCGCCTTTAGTGTGTAACTAAAATCTTGGAGGTTGTTCCACATAAACTTCTTCCTCTAGGTTTCCGTTGAGAAATGCGCTTTTGACATCCATTTGATAGATTTGAAGTCCTTGTGAGCAGCAAAGGCTAGAAACAGCCTTATAGCTTCAAGTCTAGCAACTGGAGCGAAGGTTTCATCAAAATCTATACCTTCTTCTTGACAATAACCTTTGGCAACCAACCAGACTTTGTTTCTGACAACAACGCCATTTTCATCCATCTTGTTCCGGAAGACATACTTTGTCCCAATGACATGTTGATGAGTAGGTCTGGGAACAAGTTTCCAGACGTCATTTCTGGAAAATTGGTTCAGTTCTTCTTGCACTGCATTGATCCAATCAGAATCAGCTAGAGCTTCTTCAATATTCTTTGGTTCCACTTGTGAGATGAAACAAGCAAGCATAGCTTCTAGATTCTGTTGGGCACTCCTTGTGCGAACAACAGATTGAATATCTCCAATGACTTGTTGAGGAGAATGATCCCTTAACCAACGAAGATTGTGTTGATTAGGGTTGACAGGTTGATCTAGTTCAGCTTCTGGTTGAAGAACAGAGTTTGTTGGTGATTCTGGATGGATTGGCACTAGGTCGCCATTTCCGGAATTGTCGCCATTTGACTGATCCAGAATATTGGAAGGCTGGCCATGATTTCCGGTAGGCTCAGCACTATCTGAATCCGGATTTCTCTGAGAAGTCTTCAGTGGTAGACTTTCGAATGGAATGAACTCCGTAGGCTTCATTCTATCTCCTTCATTGATTTCTTCATCCTTGTCTGAGAGATCCAGAACCTCATGATCATGCTTTGATGGCTTGTCAACCACATGTTTTTCATCAAAAATAACATGTATTGACTCTTCAGTGATCATGGTTCTTTTGTTAAAGACTCTGAATGCCTTGCTCACCATAGAGTATCCAAGGAAGATGGCCTCATCTAATTTCTCATCAAAACTGTTCAGATGATTCTTCCCGTTGTTTAACACAAAGCACTTGCTCCCAAAAATATGGAAATATGATATATTAGGCTTTCTCCCGTTCCATAGTTCATAGGGAGTTTTGTTGTTCCTTTTATAAATCATACTCCTATTTTGAGTATAGCAAGCTGTGTTAACAGCTTCAGCCCAGAACCTCTTTGGCAAAGAAGCTTCGGCTAGCATGGTCCTCACTGCTTCCTTCAAGGTTCTATTTCTTCTTTCAGCTACACCATTCTGTTGAGGTGTCCTTGCTGCGGATGTCTGATGAAGAATTCCGTTTTCTTCACAGTAATGAATGATGATTTCATTCAGGAATCCTGTGCCTTTGTCAGATCTGATCTTCTGGATGGTCTGACTTGCGTGGTTTTGAATTAGCTTCATGCAGTTGGTGAGTTTCCCTTGAGTTTCCTTCTTGCTGTTGAGGAAAATTTTCCACGTGTATCTTGAGTAATCATCAACTACCACCAGGACATATTTCTTTCCACTTAGACTTATTGGAGTAACAGGGCCAAATAAGTCCATGTGAACAAGACTTAATATCCTTGTAGTTGAGGGTGCCGGTTTTGCCTTGAAAGTAGACTTGACTTGCTTTCCTTTCTGGAAAGCATCACAAATGCTTTCCTTCCTGAATACAGCTTTGGGAAGACCTTCTACTAACCCTTCTTTGGATAGCTTGTTGAGGGTTTTGAAGTTGAGATGACTCAACCTCTTATGCCAAAGCCATAGAAGGTTAGTGTCACCTTTGTTGATTAGGCATGCTTCCTTGACATCGTCCCATATCACTTCATAGATGAATCTGATTCTCTTCCCAGTGAGAATAACTTCATTTGTGGAGATGTTCTTGAGAGATGCCATGTCTTTGCAGAATTCCAAGGAGTAACCTTTATCACAAAACTGACGTATGCTAAGAAGGTTATAATTGAGACCTTCAACATAAGATACAGCTTGGATGGTTAGTCCCTTGTACAGCAGATTTCCTAGCCCTTTGGTAAGACCAAAATCATTGCTTCCTCCAAAAGTAACTCTTGGACCATCATAGGGAATTAGATTGCTCAAAAGGCTCGCATCACCCGTCATGTGTCTTGAACAGCCACTGTCTAAGTACCAGACACCCGGGTACTTAGCGGCTTCCTGCATTAGGAGGAGGAAGATTTTGGTACCCAATTCAGTTTGGGTCCTGAATAGTTAATGGTGTGTGTCCCTACATCAAGTTTGAAGTTGCAGGGAATTTTCCTTGCAGCCCTAAACTTGTTGGGATTGTAATCATAGTTGTAGGCATAAAATTTCCTACATGCAGGTGGTGCAATTTCTTATTTCCTCCTAACAAACCTAGGTTGATAAGACCTATAGTTTTGTCTAGGTTGTGCATAGTGTGACCTGTGACGGTTATAAGCATACTTGGGTGAAACAAACATTTTCTGGGATGGAGGATGACTATATCTAGGCATAGTTCTCCACTCAGAATTTTTTGGAAAACTCCTATCTACCCCATAATGAGTATAGCCTCGTGTGTATTGGGGGTTGGATGGTTTTCTTCTGAAATTATTTCCTTTTTGAGGTCTGTCCAGCTTCCTATAGTTCTTAGGAGGGACTACCTTTTTGGGAACTTCTGTTGGTTTCTCCTTCTCCTTTCCTTTCTGCTTATTGGGTTTAGCAGTAGGTTTAGGAGGGATGAAAGTTGTTCTCCCTTTCCTTTTGGAACTGGAGGGGTCAAACCCAAGTCCTTCACGACCCTTATGTTTAGTCGTTTCAAGAAGCTTATCCAGTGCTTCTTTGGACTTTAGTATCCCTAGCTCCTTGTTGAGGGATTTCACCTATTCAGAGAGAGATTCATTTTCAGCTTTGAGTTGAGTGATCTCATCTAGTTGACTTTTCCGACCTTCGGTCAACTTGAGATTCCCTTCACTCAATAGTTTGTTCTCCTCTGTTAAGGATGAATGTTTGAGATTTATTTCCTCAAAATCTTCCATCATCTTTTTGGTGGTCCCAAAGTGGTGAGATACAAAGTCTAGAGGGGGGGTGAATAGACTTTGTTACAAATTTAAAATCTTTTTCGTTTCTTTTGAAAACGTGAAGATAAGTGTTAATCAAGAGTTCTTGAGAACTTTAGATTGTGTGCGGAATTTGGTGGGTAGAGTGAGCAGTAATCAATATGGATGGGTTAGTTTTCACAGTTAATGTAATTGCAAGTAAGAGTAAAGATAAAAGAGAGAGACACACAAACTTTAACGAGGTTCGAAGGTGGGGTAATCCTTCTACGTCCTCAAAATCCACTATGTAGTTGGTTGTTGAATAATGAACCAACAATTACACTTGTGTGAATTTCTGCACGGTATATCTTCGCAAGACCAATGTTGCTACTGCACTCGTGCTGGCTTTGTTGTTCCTTCAAAGGTCACGCTTCTTCAACAACTGCAAGATCCGAACAATAGGACTTGCAAGATCAACTTGTAAGAAAGTTGACCTACCCCCTTTTTAATCAAGAAGTTTGATCAAAAAGTTGTATCCTTCAACGTGGTGTGGTACTTGAGGCAA